GCCCTCACGCGGGCCCCAGCCTGCAGAGGGGGGCGTGAGAAGCGCTGCTGTGCCAAGGGGCTCATAGCCAGAGGCCTCTCCGGGGCACAGCTAAATGGCAGGGCCTGCGGGGCGGTCTGGGTACGTGGAGAGGCGGGAGCCGCGGAAGCGAGGGGCAGGAGGCGCGCGGGGACACGACTCCGACCTTCCCCAGAGCCCCCGACCGCCTTCCCCGGGCGCTGCAATCGGTCATCACCTCCTTTCCGTTCTTCTACCGTCCCAAGGGCTGAGGCTGGGCAACCCTGGCCCTGCCTCCCTCCCGAACTACCACCAGCGAGTAGCTCGCGAGTGGGCGCGGCGTGGGGGGCCTGGGGACGCGGGAGCGTCGAGCCTGGAAGGGGCGCGGGGACAGGACGCCCGCTGCGTGCCCTAGCCGGGCCTCTTCTCCCGGCGCTGCAGACCGACGCGTGGAGGCTGAGCGAGGTGGACGAGGACTTCAGCCTGGGCCCGTTACCCCTGTGCCGCGATCATGCCACGCGCGGCGGGGAATGGTGCCCCGGCGCGCAGCGCCCGCTTCCGCCGGGGAGGCCGCTTCCTTGGGCTCAGCTTCCACCAGGCTCCCAGCGGAACTGTGAGCTCCGCCCCGCCCCAGACTCCGCCCCTGGGACCGGCTGTGTCCTTCTGGGGCTTTTTCTGTGCGGCCCGGCAATTTGCGGCCTAGCTGTCCCTTCGGCTGGAAGCCCGGCTCCTGCCCTATTCTGATCCCGCACCTCTTCCTCTTTTCGCAGTCTCACCTTTCTCCGGCTCCGCCCCCGGCAAGTTTAGTTCCTTCTATCCAGGACTCGCCCACGGTCTATTCGTGGGTCTCTCCAGAACACAACACACCCAGACCAGTCCGAAGCCTTGTCAGTTCTGTCCCCGTGGTCCCTGCGCTGCGGTTCCGCTTGTGTGTAGATCTGGCCTAGGGGCCCCCAGAGGCTGGATGGGTACGCTTCCGGAGCTGGGTCCCTGACTGCTGGTTCTGCTACGCTCCGGCCAGTCCTTGGCTGGTCCCCAGAGGCTCGAAGGCCAAGATCGCTTACCCTGTCTGGAAACGTTTGCACCGGCCCCTGGAGAGGTAAGGAGCCTCTCATCCTCTTCCAGGCTCTCTCCCGGGGGACTCTTTCTGGAAGGGGAGGGGGTGCTATCTGCAAGGAACCTTGAGAACTGTTAGGCCTTTCTTGGTGACCATCCCCATTTGCACACCCTCACCAAGAGAGATCATTACTTGCTAGGAACCCCAACTCCGCCCAGAGAGAAAAAGCACCGTTTTGCACTAAACTGAAATTTCCTTCTCTGGAACAACCTCCATACACACACGACCTCCTCTCTGAGGGCTGTGCCCACAGAGATGTTATCTGTTCCCTCTGTCTCCAGGTAATGGTAGCGCCAACCAAGGTCCTGAGGGAGTTTTTGTGCTTTGAGGATAGTAGACTACATCCCTATCTGAAATGAATAAACTCTGTTTATTCATTTATTCATCCAGCACTGAGTGCAGGGACTGCCATGGTGGCTGGCCTGGACATGCCAGAGACCAGCAATCCACTGAGATAAGGAGCAACACAGGGGAAATGCCCCCCTCCTACTAAGATGACTTCAGGTAATCCAAAGATTTCCCTAATAATAATAAAAGAATAGATGAGACTTGAAAGAGGAGGAGGAGTTAGTCAGTAGGAGGAAGGCCACTCCAGGTAGAGGGAACTGCTGGTGTATAGATGCGGAGAGCTGGGTCATTTGTCCTGTTTGGGGGGGAATTGCAAGTATAGTCATCCCCTCTTATCCCCAGTGGATGCCTAAAGCCAAGGATAGTACCAAACCCTATATATACTATGTTTTTCCTATGCATATGTACTCATGATAAAGCTTAATTTATAAATTAGCTGGGCACAGTAGCTCAGCCTGTAATCCCAGCACTTTGGGAGGCGGAGGTGAGAGGATTGCCTGAGCTCAGGGGTTCGAAACGAGCCTGAGCAACATGGTGAGACCTCATCTCTACAATAAATTAAAAGAAAAAAAATTAGCCGGGTGTGGTGGCGCATGGCATATACCTGTGGTTCCAGCTACTTGGAAGACTGAGGTGGAAGGATCACTTGAGCCCAACAGGTTGAAGCTGCAGTGGATGTGAGCATGCCACTGCACTCCAACCTGGGTAACATAGTGACTCTGACTAAAAAAAATGTATAAATTAGGCACAGTAGTAGATTAACAGCAACTAAGAATAAAGTAGAACAATTATTATAATATACTGTAATAACAGTAGTGTAAATGTGGTCTCTTTCTCTCTAGATACCATATTATACTAAATTCACCCTTGTGATGAAGTGATGTAACGAGATACTGCAAAGTGAATGACTTTGGCATTGTGATGCAGGGTTAGGCTACTATTGAACTTGAACACAACCACAATAACTGCCACAATTGCTCTGATAACTGAGACAGCTAATAAGTGACTAACAGATACATAGATATACAGTATGGATACGTTGAATAAAGGGATGATTTGCCGGGCTCGGTGGCTCAGCCTGCAACCCCGCGCTTTAGGAGGCTGAGGCGAGTGGATTGCCTGAGCCCGCGGGTCCGAGACCCACCTGGGCAACTTGGCGAGACCTCAT